GTGAGTGAGCAGAGGAAACACAGGGTCAGGGAAAAGAGCAGCAGGAAGCTCAGCTCAGAGTTGTTGGCCCTAACAATAGGAATATTTTGTCCATTCTGCAGGATGAGAACTGCCACTGCTGCTGTCAAGAAAAGTCCAAGAATTGATAATGTACTTAACACCCAACCTAGAATCCCTATATGGGTGATACTGTGATTGTAGTCCGTTTTTATCGCAGTTTCTAGAATGTATGGGAAATATTCCTTTACACCTACAGAAAAAGGGAAAAATCAAGCTTAGTCTTCCACCTTTGAAAATTCAAGCTTATAACACTATAACATGACAGTTTTTTTATTTACAAATTTGCATAATCATACCAGGTAGGTTAGACATTTTTCCTTTGAGGTTTAGCATGCATTTGAAGTAGCACAATTGTCTCCTTTCCTCACAGTGGTCTGTCTCCTCCGTTTCAGTTGGGTAGTTCCTTCTGCACACTGATCTGGGCACCTTCCAAAGATGGAGCCCAGTATCAAATGCAGTGCATTTTTGTTATCAAATAATGCCGGTTTAAAAATCTGGTAACAGGGTTTATGTGACTATTAGCAATAAAATTTTGAAACGTAAATGTTGCATTGTGTAACAAATATTCTTCCATTTTTAGACATAGATTTATAGCATTATTAAGTTCTTCATAGGAATTTAAAAGTCATACCTGCTGTAGTGGAGAATAATTCCTGTTAGGACAGATGGAATTAGTGCTGACAGTTTGTTTGAGGTGTGTGTGCGCATTGCTATCAACAAAGCATACTGATTGACATGTGACCATGCTAATATCATTATAGACTCTGCGCTGAGAGATGGGACTGAATTCTCCACGTGGAGTCATACTGTAATTTTCTGACAAGTGCTTGTCCCAGTAGTCCTTGGCAAAGGTGTTGTCTGATGTTTGCATATTCAACCAGATGTGCTGCAGCCCTGCAGTATTGCACTCTGTGATGACACAACTCATTAATATCTGCAGAATATTTGCCATCCTAACAGTTACTAGATCTCTAGTTTGAATCCAGGCCTCAATACCAATCCACTGTATACCTGTGGTACATTTTGTTATCCCAAAGAGCCCTCGAAAGTAAGTTTTCATGGTCTTTGGAGTTAAAAGCGCAGTTTCTTCCAAAGTTGTGTTGAGGAATTGTGTCATATATTCAATATATATCCCCTCCTTTCTTGCAATTTTGGTAAATTCTGAGTACACATTTGTGCAGGAGACAAATCCAACCCATGTCCAGCCATAAGGTTTTAGAAGGACAACT